CATCATCGTCGCAACGGTCATGCTAGGAACAGCTGCTTAGCTGCTCTCTCTCTCTCTCTCTCTCTCTCTCTCTCTCTCTCTCTCTCTCTCGCTCGCTGTTGCCGATGCCGTTGCTGTTAACTAACCTCGTGTTCCCGTCGCTCGTTCTTGCCTTTTCGGTCTTTCTGGTCAGTTGTCCCACTTGTGCTACTGCGGCCCGATCAGCTAGTTGACTGATGGCGTTGGTGCATGTGTTTTAGTGATGGAAAGAAAGAATGAATGACTGATAGACCGACTGACGGAAGAATGCATTCATCAAATTCATGTGGTTGTGCTGATAGTACTTATCGTCTGCTGCGTGGTTGACAATGTCCGTTCATCTCCGCCCGCAGGCCATTATCTTCGACAGCAAGTCAATCGCGCTGAACGAAGATGCCTTCAAGATTTGCCAGCCGTACAGAGTCGACAAGGTAACCGGTTCGAGCCCGGAGTCTAGATTCTACCTTTTTTAACGTCGGGCATGGCGTCAGATTAAGGTTCGAAAGAAACGTTGAAGAGCCAAGCACAGAATCATGATGATGTGATGCTACCGTTGTCGCTTTCAGTGCCGATTGACCCAACCTAGACGTCCAGGATGTGGCAGTTACCTCTGTGGCAGTTGCCTCGTTCAAGCTGCGCGATGACAGTGGCGATGCCAGCCTCCTGCGAATTGTCACCACGTGCCTTGTCCTACAATGCATCATTGACAGCATGAAGCAAGCTTGCGGCTTGGGTGTTCTGTTGAGGCACTTGCCCGACATCCCTTATGGTCCAGCTCGAAAAGAGTTCTGCGAGTGCATGGGGCAGCTGGAGGACGTTGCGCGAATCCCGACATTTCTCCTTGCCAGCTTGAGCTTCTCGGACCAGGCGGCCGCCATGACACTCCTCGCACAGTCAAGAAGTGCTTTTGTGCAGATATTCTCGAAACTTCCCCGTCCAGGTCATCGAAGCATGGATGAGACACAAATCCAGGATGGAGAACGTCAAGTTCGCAGAAATCCCGTACCCAACTAGCATCCACCAGGCAGGCCTTGCCGATTTTTGCCAACGTCAGGAATCAGCTTGGTTGACGATGTTCTTGACATTCGTCGGTAGCTCAAGGCATCGAACCTTGGTGTGATCCACTTCTTGTGACAGGCAACCCTTCTTCCGAAGAGGGTGGACGGCATTGCATCCTTGTCTCCAAAGGGTACGTGGGAGGCCCGCAATCCATTGTGTGAAGCGAGTTAGGCTCACGAGTCACACTTACTGTGCAGTGTGCTACGTCAACTGCAACGGTGCGCAGCATCAGCACATGCAGTTTGCGTCGTTGAAAGTCTTCTTGAGGGTTCTTCACCCCGTAGAGTTCCCTCTTACCTACCTCATATTAATCAACAATATAATGGCTATGATATCCTATACTAGATTAGACAAGACTGTACTGTACTGTACTGTACTAAACTATACCATCCTATAGCATACTAGACTATACTATGTATACTATACCATACTATTCATACCATACCATACTATGCCATACTATACTATACTATACATTGATATTTTAATCTAATTTAGTTGACCCATTGACATCCCACTCGGAAGCTCTGCTAGCGACAGGTTGAAGCATTGCAGGCAGATGAGGTCCTGCCTGAATTGCAGAAGCACGCGGATCTCCTGCGTTACAGGCCGGGCTAGGTGTGCTTTTCTCTCGAAAGCGTTGTTTGCCGGCAGCTTGACATGTTCGGTGAACCGTGAGTAACACCCTGTTAGGTGCCTTGGGCTGGAGATGCCCTCACCAGAAGGCCACCTTGCCGTTTCGTCAGCAGAGCTCGGTGTGGTCCCTCGTCAAGCCGGTCAGCTCTGCCGAAAGAAGAATTTTTTTCCAGCTGTCTGATGATCTTGTCGTGCATGCATCCCGCCTTCCTTTGCAGGCGTGGTGGACCAAGCCTCAAAGAAGGACAAACCTGCGATGGTTTTCGTTCATTCGCGGTGCTCAAGGTATTCCGTGAACTGTGTTGAGCTGGCCTTAGAAGATTGTGACTGTGACATTTGTGCAGCTTGGCCTCGCTGTGTGGAATTAGACTGGTTCGGAATTCATGCCCTGAATCCTTTGGTATGGTTCTTTGCAGGCAACTTTCCAAGGAGTGACTCACGGTTGTTTGGTTTCAAGGTTGAGGACAAGCGCGCAGTTTGAACCCTGTCGTGAGTCTCGTGACAGAAGTACGTGATTCGTTTAGTTTGTGCTAGGTTTTCAATCGAGGTCGTGCCGTCGCCGAACCTAACACCGGCTGTTCTCAGTCAGGTCATATTGTGGTTATGGTGACGGGCTTCTAGGCACTCACGCAGAAGTTGCAAGAGCCGTGTGTTGAAGGGGATCGAGTGACTCCTGCGTAGGCAAGACGGGGGTTGAAATGTGTCCGCGCAGGAAGACAGATCTGGAAGGCCGAAGCCCACGCAGTCAATACAACAGGCACTCTGGGAAAAGCAGGGTGGGTGGCGGCAGACAGATCCAGGTGACGAGATCTCGCAACATAAAGATACTGCAGACATCGAGGGAATGTTTTTTCCGACCGTTGGTGAGCTGTTGCCGAGATCCACAGGTCGATTGTGCAGTGTATTTGGAGTAGAACTCCAGGTTTTGTTCTCGACACTTGATCCTGCAGGCACTGCCCGAGCAGATCGAGAATCAAAGCAGTGAGAACCTGCAAAGACAGCGGGTGGAAGACCTGGAGGTGGAGCTCGAGAGGGTTCGCCAGGATCTGAGCAAGATGCAGCAGGATCTGAAAACATCAGAGGCCGAGCAAGAGCGGACCCGCCGCGTCCGAGAAGAGGAGCAGTTGGAGTGTCAACAACTGTGGGAGGGTTCCGAAAGCAAGGTAGATGCCGCAACAGAGCAAGAGTGCAGCCTATCGGGCGTGGAACAGGAAGGGAAGGGGCACTATTGCGAGAGTCAGGCAGAAGATGACAGCCTACGGGAAGAGCTCCAGGACATGATGGCAAAGATAACGGAGCAGCAGGAGGCTGCTGTGGAGGCAAAGAGTGAGTATCAGAGGTGTTTGGCTGAGGAGAGCACGCAAGCTACCGAGAAGGAGCAGGCAGCCAAAACGCAGGCAGAGCAGGAAAGGAGCGGACTGGAGCAGCAGCTCGAGCAGGCCTGGAAAGACAAAGACTTACTCGAGGAAAGGTTGGAAAAGCAGCATGAGGAGTGGAAGGAGTGGAAGGAGGCAGAGGAGGCGAAGATGGAGCAAGGGTGCTGTGAACGGGAACGTCAGTGCTTCAAGGAAGAGCTGACTGCTGAGGCTGAGGCATGCCAGGGTCGCTTCGAGCAAGAGTTTCGGGAAGCAGAGCAGGCTCTGCAGGAGGAGTCTCAGCGTCTTACACAGGCTCTGCAGGAGGAGTGTCAGAGGCTTACAGTTCAGCTTGAGTTAGCTCAAAAGGAGCAGGAGTCTGCTGTGGAGGCAGAGCACGAGCATCAGTGGCGGCTGGAGCAGGCGGCCGAAATGCAGGCCGCGCAGGAAAGCAGCCGACTGGAAGAGCGACTCGAAGAGGCCCGGAAAGACAAAGGCCGGGTCCAGCTTGAACTGGACGCTGTCGCTGAGCGGTTGGAGAGGATGCAGTTGGGGCAGGAGAAGGCTGCAGAGGAGAGGAAGCAGCAACATGAGCGCTGGGACCAGGACCGTCAGCTCTTCAGCACAGAGCTGGAAGCTGCCGCCCTCAAGGAGCAGCATGTTGCCGCCGAGGCAAAGGCCTGCCAGGGCCGCTTCGACGAAGAGCTGCGAGAGGCCCGGCAGCACAACGACAACTTAAAGCAGGCCTTGGATGCTTTCAGGGCTTTGCAGGAAGAGGCATTCGAAAGAAAGGAACAACAGTGTGGGGACCTGGACGAAGAATGCCAGCGTCTAAGGACACAGTCGGCATGCTTTGCCGCAAGGGAAGGCCAATCGGAGGAGGAGTGCGAGCACATAGAGGCCACTTTTCAGCAGTTGGAGCAAAGGGCTTCCGATTTGCACGAAGAGTGTCAATCCCTCGGAACTGAGCTCGAAAAAGCTGACAAGGAAAGGAAAAGCCTGCAGGACTCCTTGATGATGGTTGTTCAGTCGAAGACCGAAGCCCTCTCTGAGCGACAGCAGGCTTCAATGCATGCGGCGGAAGCGAGAGGTCAGTTGCAGGAGGAGTGTCAGCGTCTTAAAGCTCAGCTTGAGTTCGCTCAAAAGGAGCAGGAGTCTGCCGTGGAGGCAGAGCGCGAGCGGAGCTGCTTAGAGGAAGAGCGCGTGAACCACATAGTTGAGGAGGAACAAGCTGCCAAGAAGGAGCACGTCGCCGAAATGCAGTTGGAGCAAAGACGGCAAGCGTATCTCCGGCATGAGCTCGAACAGGCCAGGAAGGAGAAGCAGCGTGCCGAGCTTTCCCTGCTCTTTTGGGAGGAGACATCGACGGAAGAGTTGAACAAAATGGAGCATGAGCGGAAGCAGGCAGTTGAACAGGCAAATCAGGACAATGGACTGTTTCAGCAGGAGCGCCAGCGTTTCAGAGAAGAGATGAAAGCCTTGGAGGTTGAGGCGGAGGCATGCCGGTGCCGCTCGGAGGAAGAGCTTCAAGAGAACGATTGTCTGAAGCAAGCTCTGAGTGATTGTGAGACTTCAAAGGAAGAAACGTTAGAAAGGGTCGAGCAAGAATGCAAGGAAGCTGCGGCTAGGGTGGAGCAGGAGCGGAGCCAGTTTCAGATGGAGTGTCTGAACATCAGGGGTGAGGTGGACGTAGCTACTCAGGCGTTTGAGCAGATGGCGCCAGAGAAGTGTCGCGTGCAACAGGAGCGCAAGTGCCTGAGGAATGAGCTTGCCGAAGCCGGGGCTTGCCTGCAGCAGTCTCTGAGTTTCGTTGTGGAGTCGAGGGCAGGAGCCGTGGCAATGCAGTGGGAGCGTCAGGCGCATGGTTCCCGCGTGGCATTCCAGCAGGAGGGCCAGCGGAAGGAGCATCAGCATCGTCTCCAAGGGCACAACCAAGAGAGGCTGCATCGCCTCGTCCACTCGAGGGAGGAGGAAGAGCACAAGCTAGCCAGCGATAGCGGGCACACCGCACAGATCAGAGACGATCACGCTTGCCAGAAGCCCAGAAAGTTCCAGAAGCAACTCCCTGGGACCCCCTACCGATATCCAACCTAGGCTGTGCGAATCTCCACGACGCAACCAGGAAGGGTGACGCGGTGTGTCTCAAGACGTTGCTGGCTAAAGGCTTCGACAAGGAGCCTGGAATGCCTGATTGTTCCTGTCGGGGTGCGCACATTCAAGACCTGTGTTCCCATGCAGTTCTTTCATGTTTTGAACTCCTCACTTGCTTGAAGTCCAAGCCCAACGACCCCAATATCCCAAGTATCCCGGAAGTGAGGCTTACTCTTTCAATTACGGAGGGACCCTGAATACTGTAGCGGGAACTCTTGGAGTCTCTCGAACACTTGCATGACACTAAATCCTAAACCCTTACATGCATCGGAAAAGGACGCCCGGGACGAAGCGGGTCGGGCCCTCGGAATCCCTGAGGCATTGGGGTTTAGAGTTTTGGGTTTAGGCGGTTTAGGGCTAGGGCGTGGGGGTGTAGAGGTTTGGGGGTTTAGGGTTCAGGGGTTCGGAGTTTAGCGGCTTGGAATGTTGGGGTTTAGGGCTAGGAGAACGGACTCTACATTGCAATGATGAGGATGATGTGGTGATGATGGCATCGTGACAAGGGTGATGAGTATCATGCGGATGCAACCTGGCGATGTCGAGAAATATAATGACAATGATGATGACGATGATGGTGATGCATGATGACGGTGATCGTGGCGCAGCCAAACGTGGTAGGACTCAGACTTGTCACTCCCCGTCTGTTGTACTTTCCGTACATCGTTGCGGTTGCTCTTCTTTGTCTCCTTGGGGTTACTCCTTGTCCTCTGAGTTCACCGTTCTTGTTGCCACCACTTTTGTCGCTGTTGCTGCTGCTGCTGCTGCTGCTGCTGCTGCAGCTTGTTCTGCTGCTGCCTCTGCTCCTGATAATGTAGACTTAGACTTCTGTCGCTATACCGCTACACCATGCCGATGTCGATGACAACACTTGTACTGGTACAAAACTAGTACTACACCTTCTTGCACTAGCTACACCTCCACCACCGCCAGCAAGTGCATCTCTGCTTGTTTGTTGATTGTTGCCAGCTGGACAAAACGGTCTGCTGAGCTGCCCTGGTGAGAGAGCCTTCACACAAGAGTTCTGCCGCCTTAGCTGTGCGGTAAACATAGGACAACGAAGTTTCCATAATTTGTGAGCCTGGCATCGTGACCAGTTTGCGTTGACGGCAAATTCGTCCGAAGTGAAAGCAGCACCGTTGAATCCCTTCGGTTGTCCAACCAAACCTGAGTGTCGTTTCCATCGCGGAGAAGGGCTCCTTCCGTCTTGTACCAGATGTCCAACGACCCCTCCTGGTCGCCAAGGTTGGACGCCGCTCCACCTTGCAGCAAGTGCTGGTGACGAGAAGTGCATGCAAGTGCTTCTCCAAGCAGGCGCGGCCAAGGACGGGCTGTAGATGTCGTATCATGCTGTAGCCAGGAGAAGTATAGGTAGGAAGTGATACGGAGAATGAACAGACAGTGGCCGACGACAACGACAACGTCGACATCCGAACGTCCAGGGTGGGGTAGACGGGCTTCGGGGTTCAGGGTTCTCAGTCTCCAACTAGTTCCACCATGTTGTGATCAGGTTGTATCCGACATGTCCAAGGAGACTCGCAGCAGCAGGGAGGAACAACACAGCGAACTTTGCCTAAAGCCGCTACTTGTGATTGGACCTGAGCCGGAGCTGCCTCTCACTTTGGGCATGAGGGTGTAGCGTTTTAGGCAAGTTTTAGGATTGCGCAACCAAAAGTCCACATTCATCGAACAAGACGTCGCGACACCCACGACCAAGCGCAAGTAACAAATTCTCACAAGCAGGATGCGACGACATGTAACGGCCAGGGCCTTGTGGTCCTTGTGGCACACAACATCCAAGCCTCGGCAGGACGTGCGGGACAAATGTGGTCCAGCCCTCAGGCCTTCAACACGACAAGACTTGGCCGGCAGTTGCTTTTCCTCGGGCTGTCCCTGGTGATGCCTGTGGTGCCAAACAGAGAGCTTTGCCTTGGTCTCACACCAAGGTTGGACCCCACTCCACTGGGCAGCCCATTGTGCTGACCTGGAATGCCTGGTGGCGCTGCTGCGCGCCGGCGCAGCCACGGCCGGGTTTTTCTTTCACTGCAATGCTGGGCCTTTCGCAAAGATCTTCCCTCGAAAGCCCAACATGTACAGGACATGCGGGAGAACACCGGCCACATCCTCAGGCTCGGACTGGGGAAGAGGTGCCACAGCACACGAGCAGGACTTCAAGCGATCAGGCCGAGCCCGCGGCTTTCGCCAAGGTTCGACCCCGCTACACTGGGCCGCCAGTCATGAACAGACAGACTGCCTGGCGGCGCTGTTGAACGCTGGCGCTGCCGAGGTGTGGCAGGGGATTTGTTTGTCGTTGACAGCTGTGGGCTTGGGCGTACTTGCCCAGGACGTGCAAGACCACGCCGGCAGCCGCCCCGGAGTGAATCCGTGATGCCCCAGATCAAAAACTAGGCGGCCACGCTGGAGGGTTGTTTACGTGAAAATCTCAATGTGCGCAGCGAAGGAGTCACTACTGTCTTGCCAGTCGCATCCCAGCTGAGCATCTTGGGGTAGAGACCGCTTGTCGCGAGACACCTCCAACATGGCAAGACCAGGGCTCAATCTTTTCAAATTATCGTGGTTTCCCGAACCTGCAATCCGTATCTTTTCCGAGGCCAGACACCGCTCCAGGTCGCCGCAAAGCTTGGCCATCACATGCTCAGAAATGCTTCGACATCGGCGCCGGCTGCGCGAAGCGCAAGGTTTGGAGCTTGAATCTGGCTGCGACGCTGGTAGGGCCTTCCTTTAGATCTCTCAGCGGATTGGACTCTGAATCTTCTGCCAGCAGTGATCGAACCTTCCGGTTGGTGTTCACCAGGCAAGCCCATGGCACCTTAGGAGGAAGATTGCAACGACAACGCATTCGGCAGGCACCTCACCGAGGTGGGCACACGCGATGAGTGAGTCGCTCCTCCTGCCAGACCGGGAGTCTAGTTGAGGGGATTTGAAAATTGCTTGATGCACTCTAATGCATTCAGCACGGCTCTGAATGACTGTGGACTCGGGACGAAGGCGCACCCGCCCAGCATTATGCAACAGAACAAGGAATCGAACATACGACAGTACGACATCAACGCTAACAAGTAGTCGCACGATTACGGCAGTAGTACTTCCAAATCTACATGCCCATTTGTACCTGGCTCCCTGCGCAAAGATACATGCATCATCATGGCGTTCCTTCCCGATTCCCAGGCAAGCAAATAGACGGGGACACGGGCCTTTATACTTGCATACATGTGTATCGACACTTGCCGTCTGCGGAAGGAGAGACATGCTGAAGGATCTAAGCAGAGCTAGGTAGACTGACATATTCACGGACCGGCAGATAGAGAGATTTTCGTCCATCGAAGTCTGTAATGCGCTATATTCTTAGGTAGTATCAGGGAGACCCCTTAAAGGGGGACCCTTCTGAACCCTACTTGTGGCTCTCTTACAAGGGACCTTATTGAGAGGGTCTATATCCCCAAGGGTCTCCCTAATCCTAACTCCCATATATGCGCTCACAAGCTCATCAGAGCCAAGGCTGATGAGGTTAATGTCTGTTCTCCAGCCTCCGCGAAGGTGGAGCTGTCTGCCTAGCTGCCGATGCAGTGAATCAAATTCGGAGGCAAAGCCTCTGAGGCATGCACAGGGCTGGCGCACCTGGACTGGGTCAGGCATTCTTGAGTTCCATAGCTTCATTCTGCAGCATCCAGAGCTGCTTGATCGTTGAAGCTGCGAGTTTGTTCGTCTTGACTGAGAGGGTGTGAGACAAAGCAAGAGACAGTGAGTGTGTCTCTCTCTGTGTGTGTGTGTGTCTATCGGCATGCGTGCGTGCGAGATCCAGCTGGGTGCAGCTGCAGCTAATGCGAGAGGTCATACTTGCACAGCCTGAATCACGCAGTCGAGGCACTTCGCCCACTTTTGAATCTGTAGTCAAAGCACAATGAGCAGACATGCCGCCATGCTTGATTGCTGCTTTGGCGGCGGGAGCACAGTATGGCCCGGGTCGAGGGTACCCGCAGATGTCGCCGAAGCGATGACCGCCTAATGGCTGGGTCGACAGCCGAAGAGGCTGTTTGCTCGGAGCTTGGCTCCGTCGACGCGACGGGAAGAAAGAGCATTCAGGGCTTGGGGTTTAGGGTTGAATTTAGGGGTTCTTCAGCTCGGTTTGGGGCAGCTCCTGAGAGCTGTCAGCCTTGGAGTTCCACCGCCCGATATCTGATCTGTTCCTGCCGCGCCTTGCTGTCGAAGGGCTCCATCACTACACATGGGTACGACCCAGGGCTGCCTTGTTTTCAGAATCTTCCAGGTCAACCCCAGCAGCATTAAGCGGAAGCCGGTGCCTAAAAGCCCAATATAGGTGCCTACATAAATACCAATATTACTCCTTGTGTTCCTTATTATAAGCATAGGGCAATATACCCCCCAACTCCATTCTAATTGTTAAGGCCCCTATATTACCTTGTTTGGAGGGTCCCTACTTGTTCAGTCCTCAAGAAGTGGAGGCTTCGGGAGTTCAGGTAGACGCCGAAGGCTGATCCACAAAGCCGGGTTTAGGGTTTTGGGTTTTGGGGTTTTGGGGTTTTAGAGTTTAGGGTTTAGGGTTTTAGGGTTTTAGGGCTTTAGAGTTTAGGGTTTTGAGGTGGGGGTCGGATTTCTGGCGTGAGTGCGCGCTCGCGGTTTAGGGATGCGAGAAGAGCTGAAACCCCAAACTTTCAACCCGGAGCTGCCCTAAATACTATAAATCCTGCATTACCCATGATAAAGAATATGCCATAATTCCCATAGTTTAGGGTCCTTAAGGTAATGCAGGAGAATATCTAAACCTCAGCGACTGTTCAGGGTTCCGGATTTGGTACCGCCTCTGAGCAGTTTTTAATGATCAAGCGGGCAAGAGGGGGTTAAGCCGTCCTCTGCCTGCGTCATGTGGGAGCCCATAGCAAATTTGGAGGAGACCGAAAGGCAGGATAAGCTCTCCTCTGCGAAGCAGAGAGAGGCCGGATGTTGGGAAAAGTTCTACGCCGTGATCATCTGTGCCTTCGTAGCTTCAACTGGGCTCTTCCACGGCTACGACAACGGCGTGGTGAATGGCGTCTTTACGATGGTCAGCTTCAGGGAGATGATGGGCTGGCCGGCGACAGAGAGTGCGAGCGTCGCCTTCTGGGAGGGCCTCACCGTGAACGGCTTCAACCTCGGTGCGGCCGTGGCTGCTGTTCTTGCGGGCCACTTGCTCGTGGATAGGCACGGAAGGCATCCGGCTCTACTCATGGGCTCCCTGCTTTTTGCCTTGGGCGGAGGACTTCAGGGGTCGGCACAGAACAGGGCCATGCTGATCGTGGGAAGGGTCGTGGCGGGCATCGGTGTGGGCATCACATCGTCTGCTGGGCCAGCCTTCATTTCGGAGGTCGCCCCGGAGAAGATCCGGGGCATGCTTGTGGGCATCTAGGTTCCCCAGTACTACCCTTTTGCCCTTTTTCTTTTGAGGTTCCCCTAATGAAACCAAAGAGTAGGAAAAAGGGTACCCTTATTATGTAGGGGCTACTGGGGAACCTAGGCATCTATCAAAACAACGTCTGCCTAGCCATCGTGGCTGCTGCAGTGCTGAACTATGCCGTCCATGACACTGCGCTCGGCTGGCGCCTGTCTTTGGGTATCCAAGTTGCTGCTGGGCCGCCTTTTAGGGTTTAGGGTTTAGGGTTTGGGGTTTAGGGTTTAGGGTTTAGGGTCCAAGTTGCTGCTGGGCCGCCTTTTATGGGGGGTCAAAAACAGAGGTGCTGGAGTAGGGCTCCTGGTCATGAAGGTCCTGATGCTGTATCATATTCCTTCAGAAAGCCTCATAGTCCTAAACCCTAAACCCTAAATAGTAACCCCAAACCCTAAGTAGCCCTAAAACCCTAAACCCTAAACCCTAAATAGTAGCCCTGAGCCCTAAACCCTAAACCCTAAAGAGTAGCCCTAAGCCAAGCCTAGTCCAGGCCATGGGTTTGTTGGTGGTGCTGGGCTTGTTCTTCGTCTGCGAGACCCCGCGGTTCTTGGAGACAGCCGGCCCCTCAGTCGCTCCGGTTCAAAGGGTCCCCCGCAAAGGCTTTAGGCTTTAGGGTGTGGGGGGGTTTGGGGTTTAGGGTTTGGGGTTTAGGTTTTGGGGTAAACCCTCAACCCTAAACCTCCCCGGGTCCCTGCAAAAAAGTCGCCGAGGCCGGCCGGTCCAGCGAGGCCCTCGCGGTCCTGACGCGGCTGCGCGCGGGCGACCGCGAGGCGGCCCTACAGGAGCTCCCAGGCTCCCAAGAAAGGAGGTTATTAGTTATAACGTGGGGCTTAAATTAATACTGCAATTAGAATCGGGTTTTGGGGTCTGATATACCATAATTGGTTATTTAGGGACCCCAAAACAGAGGATATTCCTACCTTATTGGGCTCCAAAAAAGGAGGTCGTAGGGGCTTTAATAATTTGAATCGTTTTATTTTGTTTTTATTTTTTTGGGGGAAAAATACTATAATTGGTTGTTTAGGGACCCCCCCCCCCAAAGGGGATATTCCTACCTTATTGGGCTTCATTATAAGGTTATAAGTTATAACATAGAGGCTTTCATAATTAGAATCGGGTTTTTTGGGTGAGAAAAAATTACTTGAATTGGATAGCTAGGGACCCCAAAAGGACATAAGCATCAGCTTTGTATAGGGATAGTCCTACCTTCTTGGGCTTCATTCTAAGGGGGATTTATATGGGATATCCCTATCCTATTTTGTGCTTGTGCTTGTGCTTTCTTGGGGCCCTAGTTTCATAAGGCTTCTATAAAGGGTCTGTGAAGACTCTATAAGGGTTGGTTAATAACTTATTACTGTTCTACAAGGATGTCATTAAGGGTTTAAAGGGTTCAGGGTTTCGGTTTTAAGGGTTCAGGGTTTAGGGCATGTTGTAAGGGTTTAGGCTTTAGGGTTCAGGGGATGTTGTAAGGGTTTAGGGCTTAGGGGATGGTATAAGGGTTCTATAAAGGGGTCTCTGAGGGTTCTATAACAGGGTTCTGATGTGGTTTTATGCGGTACAGCAGGAGCTTTTCTTGTTAAGGGTGTAGGGTTTAGGGTTTTACGTGGCCGTGATGAGGAAAGCAGACTATGTAACTATCTACTTTAAATCCCTTGTCTGGTAAGGTCCATTCTGTTCCCTGACAAGAACCCAGGTTAAAGGAGGTGCAGGTGGAGCTGGAGTCAGAGAGAGAGGCTGGGGAGGCAACATGGTCCGAGGTCTTCACTACTCCCTTCTTCCGGCATGTCGTCATCATTGGTTGCATTATACAGTTTTGCCAGATCATGACTGGCATCAATGCTATCGTGAGCTTCAGCGGCACACTCTTCAAGTCTCTTGGGCTTCATGGCATCACCTTTGCCATTATCCCTTTCGTGGCCTTCGCAGCAGGAAATGCAGTGGGGAGTTTCGTCCTGGTAGATCGGGTTGGACGACGGCCTCTTCTTCTCTTGGGCATGGTTGCCATGTCTGCTGCAATGCTTGTCGGCGGTGCTGTTGCGTTGCTTGCCCAAGATCCCGAGACGGGGCACATTGACAAGGTTTCCGGATACACCATCGTGTCCATGATCGTGATGTACATGTTCTCCTTTGGCATCTCTTGGGGCTATGGAGCTTGGCTGTACATCTCCGAGATCATGCCCCTGCGCGTGCGCGGGAAGGCCGTGGGACTCTGCACAGCCATGAACTGGGGGCCGGCAAACATCTTAAGCGCTTTCGTGACGCCGCAGATGATCTCCTCCCCACTCGGCCCGGGTGGGACGCTGATCTTCTTCGGATGCGTCTGCTTCGTGGTGATTCCCTTTGTAGCGACCTGCGTCCCGGAAACCAAGGGCAAAACTCTCGAGGAGATGGGGGGGGATCCAAATCCTCGCCTAAAGGGGGTGGCTTAAATGGCTTCTGCACGCAGGGTTTGCCTGAAAACTAAACCCTAAACCCTAAACCCCAAACCCTAAACCCTGAACTCTAAACCCTGAACCCTAAACCCCAAACCCTGAACCCTAAACATTGAGCCTTAGCCTCAACCTGACAACCCAAAGCCTAAAGCCCTGCACCCGTCATCCTTCGCAAAACCACTTGTCTGGTCCTAAATGGCAACCAAGGATTTAGGATTTAGGGTTTTATTGTTTAGGGTTTAGGGTTTTAGGGTTTTAGGGGTTTAGGGTTAGGGTTTAGGGTTTAGGGTTTAGGGTTTTAGGGTTTAGGGTTTTACGTTTGGTCCTAAATAACGACAGAGAGCCATGCACCCTGCTCCATTCAACTCAAAGCTCGTTGTGGCTTCAAAGCCCTTGGTTGAGGGCTGTGTCGAGACCCGACATGTAGAAGGTTTCGGGTTTATGAAGGTTTCGGGTTTATGAAGGTTTCGGGTGCATGATTTGTGTTTCATGTCTTGGGCTTAGGGATTAGGATGTAAGCTTCAAGTTTTAGAGTTAGCGGTTAACCCGGCTCCAAAAATAGAAATAGCAATAATCAAAACCACAGCAGTAAAGTTAAAGGTCATAGCAAAAAAAGAAGAACAGCAGGATAGACATATTCTTACCCTAAACCCTAAACCCTAAAGTTCCCTAAACCCTAAATCTTAAATCCTAAACCCTATACTATAATATTCTTCTGGCAGGAGATCGTCCCCCTCTTCCGCTTCTCGGGTTGGAGGGGCTTCCGTGCCTTCGCCCGCGCGAACCTCCGAAGTGGCCTTGGGGAAATCTGCGAAGCGTCGGAGAGCGACTCCAGCGAGGTGTCCTCTGCAAGTGAGGGGCCGGAGGGTTAGAAGTCCAGGTTTCAGGTTTAGGGTTTGGGGCTTAAGGTTTAAGGGTTTAGGGCTTAGGGTTTTGGGCTTAAGGTTATAAAGGTTTAGGGTTTGGGGCTGAAGGTTTAAGGGTTTAGGTTTAACGGTTTAGGGTTTAGGTTTATGGGGTTAAGATTCTTATTAAGATCCTGAAACCACCAGCTCCCCTCCAACACTCATAAGCTCTCCTAAAGCTTTTCGACGACGCACCCTAAACCCTAAAACCCTAAACCCTAAAACCCTAAACCCTAAAATCCTAAACCCTAAGCTGTCCAGACATCCGGCGTCGAAGCCCAAGACTTCCAAGGGAAGAACTGGCTGATTGATGTAAGGGCCGAGCTAGACTTCGTGCAGCGGAAAATGAGTGGTGAAAAGTTGTAGGTGAATACAAGGGCTACTAGAACGATTACCACAAAGGCTACTAGACGGGTTCTACAGGGTTCTAAGCTTCAGGCATTCAGGCATTGAGGTGCCTGGCTTCTTTAGCGTTTTGGGTTTGGGGGTTTCAGGGTCTCGGGTTCAGGGTTTTACAGCCCTAAACCCTAAGCCCCAAACCCTAAGCCCGTAAGCCCTACACCCAAAACCGTAAATCCCACACCCTAAGCCCTAAACGCTGAAACCCTAAAACCCTAAACTCCTAAACTCATAAACCCTAAACCCTAAACCTCTAAAGCCCTAAGCCCTAA